GTTTTAAATAGACTGGTTAACCAGCTGTTTGCCATATGGGCCACAAAATTCACGAAGTTTATGATTCCCTGTCTGCCTGAGATGGTATATTTATACAAGGGTGAGAGTGAGATAATTAGCTTCAGCTACGCTGAATAAAAGAGGGGAGAATTGTTCACTGTTCTTGCCCTGGAATATAATCCAAGCGCTCTCGTTCGGCATGTGAGTAATCGTGTATCTTGTTTTACTGTATTCCTGAACGTCACGCTGGTTTCAGAGACCAGAGGTTTCAGATCAATAGTGGCCGAGTTGCCAAAAAAAAATTGAATGAGGGCGATATCAGGTTTTGACACGATGCACCATAGAAGTCAGGTATTATCGCTGCACTCACTGCTGTTGCCGATACATAAATATTGGCTTCTTTACTGTGTCAGGGCCCGCATGGATATAGTCTCGGAAAGCATCTGGCCGCAGGAAACAGAAAATCCCTTCAGCAAACCTAAACAGAGAAAAATTCTGAAGAAAAGAATTGACTATCTAGTTTGAGTAATTAGACGTTTCGGTCATTATCTCCTATTCTAATTTGCCATTTTTGATCTCTCGATGTGGTCTGTGGTATTTTAGAAACAAACAAACCAAATTTAAAGCAGTTTGCTTATGCAAACTGATAACTTGTGGAATTATTTCATTTACTGATTGATTTGCTGTGCATTTCCAGCTTTTTTTTTGTTTTGGGGTTTGAATTTAGAATTTGCGCAACTGGGTCCCTCAAAGCGTTTCCTTCTGTATTCTTTAAAGTTATGTGCTATCCACATTAAAAACAATTATTGTACAAAAGGTGGATTATTTTTGTGAGTAGTTATACAGCAGTCTCTGGTATCTGCGGAATGCAAAGGCTTATTCAGGACAGCCAAGGTTTGGAAAAGTCAACAGCACAGACATCAGATTGATGTTGGAAGGATGTGAATGGCGTGAAGAAATAATGTTTATGTAGCTTCAGAAACCTTCTGGAACATCCAAGTATTGCTTGTTTATTTGTCCAGTCTTTCCTCTCTATCCTACACCTCTCCCTTGTCTCTGATGCTCAATATTCATTTGGACCACAAGCTTAGAATCCCTGCATTGCGGAAGCATGCCATTTTACCCATTGAGTCCTCACCAACTCTCTGAAAGGCATCCCACCCAGAAATACCCCACCTACCCGATTCCCATAACCCTGCAATTCCCATGGCTGATCCACCTGGCCTGCACATCCTTGGACACTATGGGCAGTTTAGCGTGGCCAATCCACCTAACCTGTACATCTTTTGATTGTGGGAGGAAACCAGAGCATCCAGAGGAAACCAATGCAGACACAGGGAGAAAGTGTAAAGTCCACACATACGGTAGCCCGGGGCTGGAATCGAACCCAGGTCCCTGGCGTGTGAGGCAGCAATGCTAACCACTGAGCCACTGTGCCACCCTGTGTCTAGCTTGAATGCCTGCAGTTTAAATTTGACTCTGAATGCCATCAAATCTCATGCTGCAAAGTCCCATCACCAGGCCAAGGAGTAGGATTGTAATCCCGGTATGGTAAAGAATAATCATCTGAGGGTGGGTTTTAGATCAAGAGGGTCTGTGGTACATGCTGCACCATATATCAATTTAACTTTGTACAAAAGCCCTAACTCTGTAGGGGATAAATGTTGAGATCCACTGCCTGGTGACACATTGTCTGTTGTAGTCTTACCAACTCTCCGTGTTTGTCCATGGTCTCTAGGGATGCAACTTCCAAGATATGTCCAGCTTCTGTGGGGCCCCCTATTCCAATGTGATGCTAAAGCACTTGGACAAATAAATTCCTAAACTTTGGGTTGCACTTAGCCTAATGATTAGGGGTTTGATGTGTCATTGGGTCAGCTCGCTGATGCCTCACCACTGGGGAGCTTTCCTAAGGATCAGTAGAGAGCTGGATTGGTTCCTGCTGAACAGAGGCCAGCAGCCCCAGTAGGGGCAATTTAAAGAGCCCCCAACGGGCGTCGACTTGAGGGAGAGCTGTGGTAGCCAGAAGCTCCACGTCCAGTACAACAAACCACTGCCTGAAAAGGTGACCCCAAGATGCAAACACAGCCACCAGAGTTCCCCTCTGCTCTGAACACCTGCCGCTTAGCCCCCTCTTAAATTTACTTTAAATTTGCACTCCCTGTGTGTGCCTTCCATGTTGGATGTGCCCACACATGTTCAGATCTGCCTTGGCAGTGTCCATCCTTACCAGTAGGCTTACTGAGACTGAGATACTGATCCTCTGATTGGATGAGTAACATCAGGAGCTTGTCCATTTGGATGGAGTGAATGAAGAGAGCCAGTAGAGAGATTACCTCCGGGAAAGAATAGAACCTGGTTATTAGGGGCTTGCATTTGGTCCCAATATTGGAGTCCTGAAGTTTATGGCAAATCCTACTCAATGCTAACTAAATTGTCAACTGGGCATTTAACTGGGCAATGATGCAAATTCCCCAGGGTCAAAAGTCCTGGGAGCAAATATTCTACCCACGAGAGCTGCCAGCCAATCGGAGGCCTGCAGGTGTACGTTGCTTAATAGCATCACCAGGCGGTGCTGGCTTCTGCTTCTTGCTTGGATGTGAGTACTGTTGGCTAGGCCAGCCCTTTAATTTCCATCCCTGATCGCCCTTGAGTAGGTGCAGCCACCCAAGGGTGAGTAACAGCAGGGAGGGGATCAAGTGTGAGTCAGATACAGTGGCGCACAGCGGCACTCGGTGACCCTTCCCAATATTCAGCCCTTTGGTCACATGGTGTCGGACTGCACAGGAATGCCCCATATTTGAGGTGTTTGTCATCCGTTCCAAGCTTCCTGCTGCTGGGACAGCCCTTGTCCTGTATAAAGGACAAAAATCTCTGATTCTTGCCATGCCCAAAATGCACCTGCACGTTGCAAACTGTGCTTTGTTCCTTGAGGCCAGCTCCTGCAA